CTCCAGGGATGGGAGAGCAGTGCAACAAGACTCAGCATGAGACCTTTTTGGAAAAGAAGGTGATATTTCTTTTAGTCCAACTGAGTTTCAGTCTTTTGCCCCTGGATTTCACCCACTCCCCCTGCCAGCACTAAGGCTGCTCAGGATCACCTGAGGAATTATGCAATGATTCCAAAATGTCTGTGCCTTTCCGTCTGTCTCAGATTCCTTTTCAATGGCAATAACAAATATTTTTTGGAAAGGGGTCTGTGCCAGGTGTCTTTTTCCTTAAAATCTTGCTTATTTTGGCTCTTTTTGTGAATGTCTGTGATTTTTTGTGAATTAAGTAAAGCTGCTGCATCTCCTTTCCCTGGGGCTGGGCATGGATCCATCCTGTTTGCCCAGGGGACATCAGGATGAGGAGCATGAGATGGTACCTCCTCTTGGCCTCTCCTACCATAGCTCAGCCTGGTCAGACCCTCATTCTCCCTCAGTGGCCTGTTTGCAAGGATTTTGGAATATCTCTATTTTATTTGTGCCCAGCCTTTGTTCCAGAGCACTCCTGCAGAAAGAAGTCAGAAACTGGGGGGTAAAGAAAGATGAGTACAGAGTCCCCAAAACTTCCTGAGCACAATTTGGATACACACAGTGGCCAGTGTGTATTTAGGTCACAGCACTGGGAGAAGCAGGAGGTGGGGAGAGTGGAAAGGGAAACCTTTTTTAAGAGCAACTATAAGGATTCAATAGCAAGTTTAGCCTGGGAATGTTGTTTTTTGTTCCTGAAGCTTTGTCAGAAAGTTATCCCAGTGTGCACAGCTTGGAACCATCCGAGGTTCTGGTCTCTTTAGCAAATGACATTTTAACTGGAAAAGTGAGGGATTAAAATGTTCCAGCAGCATTTTATCAGCTCTGTCTGAAAACACTCCTGTCCTTCAGCACCCTGAAAGCAGCAGATTAGGATGAAGCTGGGAATATGCTCAATGATGCAGTGTCAGCTCTTATCAGATCCTTGGGATAAAGGATGTTGTTCCCTCGCCACAATCATTTCAGAACCTTCCACAACAAGCTCCTGCACAACTTCGTAGTGAGTACATTAAGCCCCAAAGATGAATTTCATATTTCATGAGTAATCATTACTCAACCTGTCTCCAAACACAGCAGATAATTCCTGATTTATTCTGCTCTGTTTACTTGGACCTTCGAGTGGGCCCAGCTGGGGGAGATACACTCTGTAATAAGAAGGAAAACATATTCTATTTAGCAACAGGGGGAGATAATTTTTATGCCTCAGAGTGCAAGGGGTTGTATCTTCTCCTCACAGGACAGCAAGTGAATTCTGGTGAATGCCAAGTTAATTTGAAAGGATCATATGAGCTTAAAACTCCTGCCTAAAACCTTCCACCACTGGATCCAGGGCACTGCAGCTCACTCAGGCTCCTCACTGAAGGGAAGCTTGTTCCTGCCCCTCCATCTTTTCCCCAAATTACATTTTTTTCTCCTTAAAAACAACTGATCTTCCCTCTGCCCTTGGATGAACTAGCTGCCACATCTCCTTTCTCACAGGGCAGATTTTGCACCCCAGCCCTCCTTCCTTGTTTTGCTCTGGGTGTTAAATCCCAGTATTATCCATTTCAGGCCATTTCTCCCAATCTGCCAGAAATTATTTGAATTCCAACCCTGCCATCCACAGCACTAATTTTATTAGCTCCTGCTTCTCTCATCACTCAAGTAATTAATTAAAATATTGATTAGCACTAGAGACAGGACAGATCCTCTCCTAGTGAGATCCTTCTGGAGAAATCCTTTTGAGTAGGCAGCAAATTACCTGAAACCCCTGGAAATGAAGCTTTCTAATTAAGCCTGTTCTTTCTCCCTTTTTTTCCCCCTCCTATCTGCATAGTTCTATGTGTCTGAAAATTAGTTTATGAGAATAAGGTGGGGTAGGGTCAAAATGCTTCCCTCAGTCAAGAGGTAGCACAGCTTCTCCAGGTGGGCCACGTACCTGCCCAAAGGAGAAATCAAATGTTTTATGTGATCTCCCCATGACAATCCATGACATCATAATCCAAGTGATGGATTAGGAACTTCTTCAGCATCTTTCCAGTGCTCAGTGGGTCTGGATCTGCCTGATTTCTGTTTTCCCTAAGATCTTCCAGAAACCTTCAACTTCTGGGAATTGTGGGGTTAATTGGCAGCAGCTCAGTGATTCCTTGGCTCATCTTTCCAGTGTCCTGGTGGGAACTTCCCAGATTTTTCTAAACTAAGCATTTCTACCTTTTATATATAGGTATTTGGATTACTTGCCTTCCTCTTCCCCAGCCTGGGGACTGGATTTTATCCACCATTCCAGGCACAGCAATTCTTTGTCTTTTTGCTACAAACTGTGTCTCTTCAATGAGCATTTCCTGGGAACAGATTTCAGGTTGCCAGAGGCAGTTTGGGTGAATCTGAATGGAAGCATGCACAGAGTTTTGATACACATGTTGTTGGCACTCTGTGAACAGTCACCAAATCCACATGGGACCAGGACCATCCCCTCTGGTGAAAAACCTGCTCTTGCAACAGCAGGAGAAACCCTTTGGGTTTGATTGCTGTGGAGCAGGGGCCCAGGGACACTTCAGGAAGAGATGGAGCTGAGCTAAATACACCACAGGAGGATTGCAGGTTATTTAAAATCTTCAGCTTTGCTCTTTTTCCAGAGGAATGAGCATCATGATCAGCTATAAAGCAGCTCTGGGCTCTGTTTTAATGCTTTGTTTTAATTCCTCCTCTTCTCCCTGTCCAATTCTCACCAGCACCTTCAGGTCTGTGACCTCCTGCTACAACAAAGTGCTGCATGAAAACATCCAGTGCTTCAGTTCCAGAAGTCCATGGAGTTCTGGCCCAGTTCTGGCCCTGTTAGTCTTCCCCAAGAAATGTATGGCTGCTGAGGTATATCCTGAAGTGCTCTGTAAATTCTATTTTAAGCTGTCTCCAGGGGAGTGTCTCCCCTGGGGAAAACCTGGAGAACAGAACAGGGTGGATTTTGCTGCTGCTATGACTTCCTTTGCTTCCTTCCCTTTGCAACCCTCCTACCTGCCTGCCACTTGCTCCCCATCAAACACTTCTCCTCCTGCTCCCTGGGTGCTGACAACCTTTTCATATTCCCTGGGTTTTATCCTCCTCCCAGCCTTTCCAAACTGCCTCCTTTTAATCTTCTCTGCCAAGTCAGTCCCTTTCAACAGCCTGCTCAAAGAGCACAGAGGAGGGGAAGGGGAAAAAGTGGGTTTATTTCTCTTGATAGAAACTCCAGCCCAAATTGATGGGAATTACCAGAGCAAAGGCACAATAACAGGCCCACAGCTGACCACAAAGCTGACACACTGTTTGCAATTACCTTGGATGCTTATCCACAGGGATCTCTCCTCTGCTGGAGGGGTAACCAGGAAAGGAAGAATTCAGGCTGTGCCACCTTGTGCATTGCCTGAGCAAAAAAACTTCATATGATGGGATAGGAGTTTTCCAAGTGGAAAATGGAAGTGGAGCCCCAAGCCCAGCAGGGAGAACAGGCCTTTCTGGGAGTGAAAGATCATCCAGTTCTACCCCCTGCCATGGGCAGGGACACATTTCACTATCCCAGGTTGCTCCAAGCCCTGTCCAACCTGGCCTTGGACAGTTCCACAGCTTCTCTGGGCCAAGAAGCAAATCTGTGGCAGATTCCTGGCAAAGCACGTGGCAGCTCCTGACTTTTCACTCCATGCAAAACAAAGTGTGTTGTTATTTATTTGTTGTGGTCTGGAAAGTACCTTGGAGCGACTTGGTATTGTGCAGAGCAAGGCAGGAAACCGCCTGCGAGCCGAGGGCTTGTGCAGAGCCAGGAAAGAACCTTCTTCTCCACAGGATGCAGCAAGGATGCCGCAAATTCCTGGGCTGCCAAGAGCTGGAGTGACCCCTGAGAGCATCCTGGACTGTCTCTTCCCTCCCCCAATCTGAAGAACCTCATTCTTATTCCACTCCTGTCTCGTTTAGCAACAGATGCTGCCTTGAAAATTGAGAACAGTGCAGAACTCCCCCAGATCTGGGGTGTCGTGGCCAGCATATGCTGCCTGTCCTTCTTTGAGTGGGTCCACCCACATCCACTCACACAACTGTCTGCCTTCTAGAACCTTCTTTGAAGCCAGAAGTCAGTTCTGACTTGATACCTGTGAACAGGGCTGTAGACTCTCTCAACCATCTCCATGAACATGAAGCACTGCACAAAAATAGGGGAAAAAAACCCCCAAGACCCTAAAAAATTCAAATTAATCTCCCAGTCTGCACTGTGGTAGTTGGGTCTCTCAAAATGGCTGGGCTAAGAGCCTGGTAGATATTTAGAAATATCTAAACCAGTCACTTACAGGCTTTTCTATCCTCCTCCACAGCTCTTCTCTGCATACCCCAGCCCTCACCAGAGGACTATTTTCCAGGGTAGGAGGAGTTAATGAATTTTCTCCACTGTGTATTTCTCTTCTGCATATTTGGGTTGAACTCAGAAGTTTTGTCTTCTCTACTAAATTCCATTCTGGAGCCAAAAATGACAAGTTCCCCCTGTGGTCTGTGGTTGCAAACTGGTGGTAGGAGAGCAGCAACACAATCTGGGCTTGAGAGGAAAGGAGCTCCAGGGTAGGATAAATGCAGAAAATAGAGGCAGCTACACCAAAATAACCCCAGACTCAACTTCTACCCCATAACCACAGACAGAAACCCCTTAAAGGAGCACAAGGCTGATGGGCTTTGTGCTCAGCTCAGAGCTCTGCCCAGTCTGGACAGGGATGGCTTCAACCTCCCTCTCTGATACTGCATCTCTGGGAAAAGTCCTGTCTTTGTCAAGCTGCAAACTAGGAAAGAGCCTGAACACTCAGGTGTTTCAGTAACCTCCTATGATAAGCACTGAGAATCAGAAAATAAGTACTGATAACTCAAAAATAAGAGTTATTATTATTACTATTATTATTATTATTATTATTGCAAAATGTGGCCCTGCTGGCAAAGTGCCCCAAGCCTGCAGGTATTGGAGTTTCTCCAGTTCCTTTTGATGTCTTCCCCTCCCCAGGATCCTTATCCCTGCCCCTCACCACCAAAGCTTCAGCAGATGTGTAGGTTGGTCCTTGGAAAGGTCCACAGCCAGTGACAAAAATCCCAGCAATGTCAGGTGGAGCTGGATGAAGCCTTCAAGGAAGAGAGACCATCTAACCCCCTGAGAGGAAAGGTAATAAGCACAGCTGACATTCTGGAGGCAAGGACAGACCATCACTCACAGAGATCTATGGGTTCAGTACAAAACCATTTTTTAAAAATGATTTATTGCTAAAAAAAAACCACTCACACACACAAAACTCTTCAGCTGTGTGGTTAATGTTCAGTGCTGGCATCACCAAGACTGTCAGCAGGAACAAATGCTTTGGAGGACATAAATCCTGAAGGCTGCAGCATCCAAAGGTTACGGTGAGTGGAATAATCCATGTGAAGGAACAAGCTGCACCACCGAGGTGGAAGAGGCAGAACAACGTATGGATGGACTTCCGGGCAGTGCAGGAGGAGTTATTCCCACCCAGAAGATCAGGAAGCAGCCCCATGGTCCACCACCATCCACCCTTCACAGTTAACGGGTGGGTGGCTTCACCTCCCCGGACACAGATCACAAGTCACCTTCTTGGTGTCACACTTTGGATTCTGGGGTCTTTGTGGACTTTCCTGCCAGCTTCTCCTTCTCTGGGTCTGCCTTTGTCTCTGCTGCCTTGCTGGCTTCCCTCTCCTGCTTCCTGAGGATCACGTACACAGCCACGAAGCACAGGAAGGCTCCCACCTCAAAGAAAAACTGGAGACCTAGGTACCTGTGGTGTGGGAACACAACAAATCAGGGTGGCCAGGGCACTGCCCTGGGCTTGAGGGTGGAAAGAACTTGACACGGTTACTGGTCAGAGAGTCATTCAATGATGAACCTGCCATGGGGATGGAATATCATCACCTAGAGCTCCTTCCCAGCCTCCTCACCATGCACAGGCTGCATTTGGTGTCTTCTGTGTGTCGAGATGGGGTGTTTTATGGGAAGATGAACCCCAGGGCACCAACACCCAATGTCCCCAGGCCCCCTGCAGCACCTCACAGGCAGGTTTGGGGCTGGACTGATCCCCACTGCTGCATTTCCCCCATGGAGAAGACATCAGGACAGGCTGCTTCTCTCTATTCACGTAAAAGGAGTCACCACAGCATCACACAACAGCTCAGGTTGGGAGGGACCTCAAAAACCCATGTGGTCCAACCTTCCATGGGAAAGGGAGCCTGGGGGAGATTGTCTAGAGCTTTGTCCACTCTCATCTTGAAAGCCACCAGTGAGGAGGACTCTACTGTGTCCCCAGGGAGATTGTTCCAGTGAAGGATTGCAGGGGTTCTCCTGGAACTGGACCTGTGTGGGCTACAGCAGCAAGTTTGCACAGTCCCTGGTGGGGTTTGGACCTGTGCCAGTGGTTTTCCAAACCATTCCTGGCCACTGCTGGGTGGTTACCCTGGCCCAGGGGGTTGTGAGTGCCCCTGTTTGTTCACCAGCAATTTATCCCATGTCAGAGGTGGGTGCCACGTTCCCCCTGGGTTTCCCTCTGCCCCCTCAGCCCTCCTGTTGTTGGGTCAGCCCTACCTTTGCCTGAAGAGGGTGTTGTCATAGTATCTGCAGGCTGCCTTCCTGTCACACCTCTTCTCCCACAGGATGCAGGTGGTGTCGATGGCGCTGCCGTACAGGATGGGCCCTGGCATCCACGCTGGAAGCAGAGAGGGCTTGGTTATGCCAAGGGAGCTGCTCTGCTGGCACCCACCCAAGCCTGGTGACTTCCCCGTGTGCTAAAGGGCTGGGAAGTGGTTCGGGATGGCCTTTGCTGTGGCCCATGAAGCCACTGGTCTTGCACAACACGCCAAGGCCTGGCTGTGTGTTTGCTCCCCATCGAGATGGAAGTTCTTCCTTCTCATTGCTCATCCCAGGAATCGCAGAATCATCAAGGCTGGATGAGACCTTCAAGATCTTCAAGTCCAACCATCAACACAGAACCACCATAATCACCCCTAAACCATATCCAGGCACCTCTTGAGCACTCCCAGAGACTGTGACTCCACCACCTCCCTGAGCAACTTATCTCAGTGCTCACCTCCTTCATGCCCTGAGCATTTGTGCCCCCTTCCACCACTGCTGTGCTATATTCTGGGAGCCTCCAGGTGAATGTGGATTTTCACCATCGGAAAAATAACTAGTGGGATTACAGGACAAGGTTTGGAGCCACCCTGATGTGCTGGAGGCAAACACAGCAATATCTACCCACAACCAAGGGGCAACCTCCTGAATCTAAAGGTATTTCCAGCCTCCTTTTATTTTATTAAATTATGTAATTTATCCCCACGGAAGTGCCTTGTCCCCTCCCCATGTGCAGCCCCCCAGACCCTGCAATGTAGCATCTTTCTCTGGCTTAGGACAGGCTTTGATTAGTCTGAATACACAGCACGCCTGCTGCATCAGGGATGAAATCCCTCCAGACCTCCAAGAGCTACCATTATTCTCCAGGATGGGTTTTTAATACATTTTAATTTACCTAAAACTCTCAGCAGCATGAATTGTATCCCAACAGCAAAGGATTTGTCTTCAGGCTGGATGCTCCTGAAAAACAAAAAGGAAAATTTGCCCTCTGGCCAATCCCACAAAGGTGGATGTTTCCCTCCCTGGCACAACACCTCACCCAAAAAGTTGTCCTTCATCCCAGCCACCAAGGACCTCAGGGAGTTCCCATTTAGGTCAGCAAAGATGATGAGGTTTCATTCATTAGGGTCACACACTGACCACAGCTTTTCCTTGGCCTGAAAATCCTCCCTAAAAGACAGGGAGGAGCTCAGGTAAAGTATTTTTGCTTTTCATTTAAAGAATCCCCATGAGTAAAACACAAGCAACACAAGGGATGCTTTTTGTAACCGAACAAGGGATTTACATGCTGAGGAAGTGGCTGGTTTTGGGGTGGGAAGCCCCAGTGTCTATTTTGGTGGTACCCCAGTTTTCTGGAATCAATATTCCAGGCTGTGGTTCCTGCTGGTCACACATGGGAGAGGACTGGGTGGCAGAGGACATCCAGGTCATCACCCTCAGGGGACTCAGCTCCCCTTTCCTCTCGGACTGCCTGGAGCACTCACAGCTCCTGCAGTCAAAGTAAAAACAGATTTTTAACCGCAGCTTTTCTCTAAAAAGCAACTGTTTGGAATGTTTGAACCACAGAAGTGTGCTTGGAAGCATCATTTATAGACTAATACAAGGATTCCTCCATGGTTTTCCCCTCTCTTCCAGCACATTCCCAGGTCAGCCCATCCTGGGGTCCAGCCCCACTAGTCTGGGTCTCATGTTTAGGCTGTTGCTGCTGCCCCATAGGCACCTTTCCAAGGGGGTGGGAAGCTGGAGAACTAATCGCCTCTTTGCCCTGGGAAGGGAGGCTGTATCCAAGCAAAGGAAGGTAATTAAACTTCTTAACTCAATACAGAGCCGCATTAAAACGAGCCAAAATACTGCTGAGCTAAATCAATGCTGAGTTAATGGTGCATCTCCTTGCTGAGGTACCAGCCGTGGGTGGGGAGCAGGAACAGGATGGCTGCTGGCTCTGAAGGCTGTGCTGAGACCAGGACTGGGGCTGCTGAGGGCCATGTGGGGTTCCTGTGAGCCTCATGGCCCCGTGGGTGGGTGGAGATGCTGTGGTGTGACACCCACCAGGTGTTGCTCAGGTGTGACACCCACCACAGTGCCTTCCAGGAGCACCTGGCCACACAGCTCCATGGCAAAGCCTCCAGCAGCCTGAAGTCTCCACTTGCTGCTTAATTCTGCAGGATTCAGCAGCAATGGCCAAGGAGACCTTGGAAGAGCCTTTGTGGTGCCACAGCAGCAGGAACTCTGCCAGTGCAGGGTCTTCAAAAGCAAGTCTCAGCTTGGAGATACTTCTGATGTTTCCGTCCTGCCCAGCCATGCCAGGGCTTGCCAGCAAAGCCCAGCCTGCTCCCATTCCCAGCCTGAAAGGTGGACATCCACATGCAGTGCCAGATGGCAGGAGCAGAGGCACCAACACATGCAGAATCCATGTCAAAGCACCGGGAGGAACTGGGCACGAGGTGTAACACAGGGCTGGTTTAACCCTCAGCTGGAGAAAACCTTCCTCCTCAACCCAAGGACCCCCAACCACCACCTCTGGAGGCCTTTGTGGCTGCACCCAGACCGTGACTGACCCAGCAGCCCACCTGAGGATGAGCATGAAGGACGGGGTGTGGGATGTGCTGGCGAGGATCCCAGCCAGGCAGGACAGGACCACGAAAGGCAGGAAGAGGTGGGAGCAGCCGGTGCCGCAGGTCCCGGGAGTGGCAAAACTCCCGTTCTCGGAGATGCAGCTGCAGTTGGTGTAGTTCTGGAAAGGGGAGAGAAAAGCCAGAGGCTGCTCATCTGAAGGTAGAAGGGAAAGCTGCCAGCTGCCATACTGAGGGTGTCTGTAACTAATTAGTGGTAATTAGCACTCAGGGACACGTCTCTTCCAGTGCCCAAAGGGGCTCCAGGAGAGCTGGACATGGCATTGAAAGACAGGACAAGGGAGAATGGCTTCCCACTGCCAGAGGGCAGGGTTACGTGGGATATTGGGAAGTAATTCTTTGCTATGAGGGTGGTGAGGCCCTGGCACAGGTTGCCTGGGCTCTGTCACCTGTACCCAAGTTGTGTCCTGCTGGGAGACCCCTCACACAGGGACTGTGTGCAGGGCAGAGCTGCAGCCAAAGCCAGAGCCCAGGCTCAGAGGAGTCTTAAATCAGAAAATGCTTACAAGGGGAAAGTATAAAACCTCACCTTTGAGAGAGGGTCATAAATAACTGGCAGAGCCTTAGCAAAGGGAAGATGCCTCGAGGTGATGGATGAGGATTTTTTTTCCTTTTCTCCATTTTTTAGTTCCAGTTCTCTCCTTTTTTTTTTTTCTTTTCATTTTTGGAAGTGACTTTTAAATAAAATCAGCATGATCTTTTGGTTGCACAGTTTTACAAAGGGGTGGCAGTTTGCAGAAAGCTGATCCCAGAGGCAGGAGCAGCTCAGGGTCCCCCAAAACCCTGTTCCTACAGCACTGCCTGCAGAGTGGCTTTGTGACCACAGGGAACTGCTCCTGGTTGAGAGCATGGGGGGAGAGTTAGGGTGAAAAGGGACACAATCCCTCCTCCCACCTCTAGCAAAGAGGATTCAATATTTGAAATGAACACTGGGATTCATCTTCAGCCACCTGAAAAGGACTAAACCAAACTCATCCTTCTCTGGAGGAAGAGGTGGGTCTGCAGAGCACCCCCCACAGATAAGTGAGAGCTGGGGCGAATTTGGGCCCAAGCAGCGAACAAAAAAGCAACCAGATAAATAAAAACTCTCTCAATCTGTGTCACCACCACCTTCTACAGAGAATCAGGGTCACCACACTGAGGGGACTCACACAAAGCCAAGTGCAGACAGAGGGCTGGGGATGAAGGCTCTGCCCCTTTCATTCCAAACCCCAGAGGATTGTAGAGCAGGGAGCATGACCCCAGCTGCAAAACCCTCTGAGCAGAGGGCAAAAACCACAAAGCCTCTGGGGGGTCTGTCCCTGGGAGAGGCACTGTCTGGGCAGCAGTGCCACAAGGCTGATGCAACACCAGGGCTGGGAAAAACCACCTGGCGAGAGGAGAACAACCCAAGAGCAGCCTTGAAACCAGGGCTGTGGCTTCTGGCACACAGCCAGCCCAGGGTTTTTCAAGGTCAAACATCACCAAAGCACCATTTAGAAATTGCTTTCTTGAGAGAAAGCAAGTCCCAGCTGGGACCCTGTTGGACTCTAAATTCTGGGATGTGTGCTGACCAGCTCAGATCTGACTTGGCTGGCAGCTGATCCCACCCATGACTGCGGACAGGGAGAGCTGAGAGGGCACAGAAACCCAGGAGAGCCCTGTGGCAATGGAGATTCCAGCAGGGAGAGCTTCCCAGGGAAGTCCTTGCGGCCACCTCACTTCAACAGGTCACACTGCACCCAACCAAACAGCAAAGCACCTACAGGTTGTCACTGCGAGGTCCTACTCCTGAATAAAATGTGGAGGTTCCTGCTGCTGCCTGTGGAATTTGGGGATATCAGCTGATGCAAACAGCAAATGGCTTTCAGCATCCAAGAACTTTAGAAGGAGTCAAAGCAAGGCTCCTCTGGAAGGGCTGCAGCAAAGTGAGCACACAGCTGTAGGTTTTTCTGCACACTGGGAGGGTTTCTGGAAACCCTAGGACACGGAAAGCAGCAGGTAATGAGTGCCACGGGTCCCTGCCCTGGCAGAGAGGCTGCAAATGGTAAGAAAAGTGTAAAATTTCCAACAAAACAGGTGCTGGAAGAATGCCATAAATGCAATAATGTCTTTTTTCCTTTTATTCAACAGGTAATACCTGAAAGGAAAAGCTGATGATGGCTTTGCCGAGTAGTGTTGGCGTGGCACCATCAGAGCAGCCCTGGTTTTGCTGTAGGCTGTGGCTACACATAATTATAGGATTAATGGATGCAGGAGTGGGACACACTGAGGAGAACAGGATGTCAAAGGGCTGGAGGCATCTTTAAGCAAGAAAAAAGCAGCTGAAAAGGATCTGCTGCACAAAAGGCAGGCCCGGGGATGCAGAAAAGCACATCTGGGACTAAGCTCTGGCAGAAAACATAATTGTTATTAAAATGAAGAGCTGTTAATTAACAAAATGCTGCTAACTGCCCAGACAGTCCCATGCTGCCATTATATCCTGTGCCAAGAACACAGCAGGGAAACTACTCATCCTATATGGATTGCTAATGATTTTCCAGGTATTCAAAGCACTCAGAGCTGCTCCCTGAGGCAAATCCTCTTGGGAGAGCAGTTTGGGTGACACCTGGTGCAAGACACGGAGGTATGTGACAGTGGGCACCTCCTGTATGGATATTTTCCCTTCATAACCCCAGAAAAAAGAGGAAGCACATGGATTCCATCCAGTTCCAGGGAACTTCAGGTATGTGATGCCTAAACTGGGATCCTGGTTTTGGGAGGTGCCTATTCAAGGATGGGGCAAATCACAGCAGGGCATCCACAGACTTGGGGTCATGCAAAGTGCTCTGCTTGGCCTTCCCATCCTGCACATCCTCCTGTCCCACCACAGGAGACACAGCTCAGGAAGGTGACCTTCCTGGTGACCATTTGGGGATGAGGGGAAAGCAGAAGGTCTTTGCATCTTCCATGGAAAAAGTCCGCTCAAGAAAGGAAGCCAGGGTTTGGGAAGCAAAACCTTCCCTTGGGGGTCAGGTGAGTGTGGAAGGACATGTAAAATATTGGATGCCTCAGAGGTTTCTTCTTGCTGTTTTGCCCAACCTTCCCTGCTCATTCCACATGGATCACACAGAGCTTGTCCAACACTAACAAACACCACTAATTGCCAGTGCCTTGGTCATCCCTCCTCAGCCATCCCACAGGCACAGTGGGAATGACTCACCAGGACTACGTTGGTGCCCTCCTGGATGTTGACAGCCCTGCAACCAGCAGCACAAGGTGAGGTGTACTCGATGGAGTTGGAGCCACAGATGGGGTTATAGGCCTTCTCAGGGCAGTTGCACTGCAGGTTACACTCCAACTCGTGGTGCCCAAATTCAGAGCTGCAGCAGGGAGAAAATATTAATGCAAGGTATTGAGCATCACTAATATGCATCTTACATAGAAAACATGCCACGTGTACATTGAGACTAGTAAAAAACCCCTTGATTGCTCAACCAAACCTTCCCCAAACGTGAGTGGGGAAATTCCACTGTAACCCCACAAGGCTTTGCTCTGCCTGGGCAAAGCATCCTGACCACAAATGGTCAAGACAGTCACCCACTTCCCTCATATTTGGGGGTTTGGGGTACTTGCAATGTTCTGAGCTTCCCACTGAGGGCCAGGACCAGGTTCCACCAAAACCACAAGACACTGAACGTGTGGATTCACAGAAACTTGGATCAAGCCTTGAGGGAAGACAAGAAGATCCTGCCCACGTTGTAGCTGCACAGGGAAGCAGCCACAGCCTTAAAGGTGTGATCCCAGGGCTGGCCCCTGCCCAAATTATTCACGGGTGCATAACTTGCTCTGCTTTCCAAGATGGAATTTTAATCCTGTGCTGTTTGTGCCAAAAATGTGTTTACTTCGGGTTGTATGCTACACTTGTTCTACAGTAGGAAATCCCAGCAACTGGACTCTTACAACTCTGCTCCTAAATATCTTTATGTTAAAAAGGTTTTAATTCTAAGGAGATAAAGCTCAAATGATCCCATGCATGGGATAAATTAAAAATATATTTTCTGCCCTAAACTTGAGGACACAGCGGATTCCGTGTTCATCCACAATAATTTCTAGCCTTATTTTATCACCATTAAATATTTCTCCTGAGGGAATAAACCTATTTCTGGGCATTCTGCTTAACTCACACCTCCCCCCCGAGGAATGCACCTGGATTGGGGTGTGCACACAGCCCTGGGAGTGACCTGCCCATGCCTGGTACCTGCCGCTGTAGGTGACGCCCGCGACCTTCTGCGTAGGGCAACCAAGGAAGAGGAGGGGGAAGGCCACCAGCAGGCACAGGAGCATGCCCAGGACACACATGGCACTGCACTGCCTCAAGGACATCTGGAACCGCTTGAGGATGGCACCGCCCACCACGATCCCCACCATCGCCCCCGGGATGTTCACAGCACCTGGGGAAAGGCAGGTCATGGAATCATGGAGTCACAGAACAGTTTGGGTTGGGAGGGACCTGAAAGATCACCTTGTTCCAAACCCCTGCCACGGGCAGGGACACCTTCCACTAGCTTTGGAAGGTTGCTCCAAGCCCCGTCCAATCTGGACACCTTGGACACTTCCAGGGATGGGGCAGCCACAGCTCCTCTGGACAACCTGTGCCAGGGCCTCCCCACCCTCACAGCCAACAATTCCTTCCTAATATCTGATCTAAAGCCATTCCCCCTTGTCCTATCATCATATGTTGTTTTCCATCCTCTGAGCCATCTCAGTCCCTTCACACAGCAAAGACCCAGAAGATTTGCTGTTGAAGTTCTATTTTTCAGCAGAGGTGATCCAGAAGGGACCAAGGTTTTTGCAGGGACTGGTGAAATAATGCTACAAAAAAGCTGCTTTTCAAACCCAGCAGGATCCCAAAGCAAACTGGCTGCCTTCTGTACCCACGGATTAGAGATGTAGGGAGCAGTGGGAAGCTGTGCTTCACCCAGAAACTGTGACTTTTCAGTGTAGACAGGAGGAAACACCAAGTAAACCTAAAATGTTTAATTTTCACACAGTGCAGGATTGTCACCCTTGTAAAACTGTGAAGATTTCCACCACAGACTTAGTGTTCTGCAAACCCCATTTTTACAATGGGAGCCCAAAGTTCAGCTCCAGAAGTGCAAACTCTTTTAATTCAGCAAAGAACCAATGGGGAGGCTGCTTTCAGCCCATAAATACCCTGAAAGGAAAGAATTTTCAACTACAGAAAGCTTTTTGATCTATCAGAAGGCGGCAAAGCAAGATTCGGTGGTGGGAACAAAGGGTAGGGAAGTTCATCTGTGAAATACAGAGAGGGTAAATCAAGGTTGGGAACAGCTCAGCTGGGCAGGACACAACTGCTTCAGCATTTAACCTTCCTGCCTGTGTTAAGCTCAGGGTGGTGGGCTTTGCCAGCCTGCTCTGCTCACTTTCTTCTGATTTATTTGTTGCACACCTCAGATTGTTAACCCAACGATGGATGTGAAGTAATCCCTGATACAGAACACGCAGAATTCACATCTGATGTTTCCCTGCTCCCTCGATGCAGTGAGTTCCCTTCCTCTCCTTGATTACAGAAAACAGCTTTAGATAACACACATTTCTCCAGGTCTTAAAATATCCCAGCAAGCTCAGGCTGCAGTGGAAAGGAAGGAAAGCAAGCAGATAGGAGCTGAGCAAGTGTATGGGCAAGGACCTTGTGCCATGTCTGTCTGTGGGTCATGGAAGGAGACCAGCAGCTCCAGAGGAATTCTTTGTAATTTTCACACCATTTTTTAAGGAGTGCTCAGCAACACTTACCAATGATCATGTTGGCAAAGGATGCTGTGAGGGAGAACTGTCTCTCCAGGAACTTGCCCATGAACGTTGCTAAACCAGCAACCATGGCAGAGATGTTGACCTGAGCCAGCACCACCAGCAGGTAAACGGGGTGACGCAGGTTCCTCAACAGCACCAGAGGAAAACCTGAAAGGAGAAGGGCAAAGCTGTTGCATACAGAGCAGGGGTACAGCAAAATATTATTCCTAGAATCATAGAAAGGCTTGGGGGGGAAGGGACTGTAAAGCTCATCTCATTCCAGCCCTTTCCCTGGAGCTTTCTGGCAGGGCTTCTGCTAACACAAACACAAGAGGAGATGGGAAGTCATTAAAAGTTAATTTATTTGTTTGCTGCAGTTGCAATTTCAATGTCCTTTTTGTTTCAATCATAAAAAATGCAATTTTTCTTTGTTTACAGGCAAGAAACACTCCAGCAAATTCCCCTGTGGCTGAACCCTGGAGAAGAGGGATCTTCAGCCTTCTTAGCAAAGACAGACACCCCGGGGGGAATCAGGGTGCCCAGTGCTGACATTCTCCAGCTGGGAGGCTGGAATTGTCCATCCTGGAGTGATTTCTCCTTTGTGACACCCCAAACCCACTTTCTCTGCTGCTGTTGCTCCCCCTGAGCCATTGCCTCCCCCCCATGCTCCCTGCCTGGCTTTGCAAAGGGCAACTTCCAGACAAACAGATGACGAGTTTCTCAGATGAGGGCTCGGAAAGCCAACATGCTGGAGCAGAGATAAGGAATTAACAGGGAGGATTAATGCAAGGGCCTGCCATAAATTAATGGTTTTAACTCTTAGCAGCTCCCAAACAACTGGGACAATCTTTCTATCTGCTCCAGCACAGCAGCTCTGGGAGAACTATCTGGTGCTCTTCTGGGAGGTGCCCCAAGCTGTGTGTTTATTTTAGTTGTCCTAAATGTTATGTGAAGAGCAAAAGAACCCTCTGTGGATGCAGCAGGGTCCTCCAAATCCACAGGCTAAGCTCCTGTTCATGGGAGTGTTGCCTCTCCAGGTCAGCACTCTGCTCTCGGGGTCAGGCAAGCAGCCAAAAATGTTGGGGAGTAGCAAAAGCAGGTCACTAGAGAGGGTCCAAGCATGCAAGATATGGTCAAGGACCCTAAAATACTAAACCACTGGAGAGCTGGGAGGGCAGCAGGCAGCTGGAGAGGGAATGGGCTGTTAGACCAACGTGAACCCAAGAAGGGAGGTGGTTTTTCTCCTAAGTACCACTAAAATCCTGATTTTTGAAGCATATTCCAGCCATATTGCAAATATGAAACCTCAGTTGAGACCTCCTGCGAGCTAATCCAGCCTTTTCTGGAAGTTGGTGGAAATCTTCCACAAAAAAGCTCTTTTCCCCAGAGTTTTTGGTCTTTTCAATCAAACTATGCCCCCTCTGCCACCCCAGATCAGAGCTAAAAAGTACAACACTGAGCAGGTCACAGGAAGATTTCTGTCCTCTGCAATCACCTCCTCGTGACTAATTGGATCTCCCTCCCAGCTCCAGGGAGGAAGCTGGGCAGATATTAAAAGCAAGTGGAAACTGTACAATAATAATCAAAAAATGTCTTTGAAACTGTCTGTAGGGACCATAAGAGTAACAAACAAGTCACAAGCACAGTGTTCTAAATGCTCTGAAGATCACCTTTAATGGATTAATTCCCAGTGTGTGCAACAGAATCTGCACGTCCTCCCAGGTGTTTTCAACAGAAGCCTGGAAATTAGCAATGGAAATTACTCCAGGCTGGCTAAATCCTAGTTTTTTCATTACTGTGAGCAGATCCAATGCCTGCAAAAGGAGCACCTTGTGAGTGTGAGGAGCAGGGTGCAAGCCAGTGTCACATCTTTCACCACAGAGCTCTGGCTTTCCTAGATTTGGAGAACTCCAGGCAGCAGAGCCTGCTCCCTTCTGGGGCAATCGACCTCCTTGCTTTGAAATGCCTTTGCCTGAGCATTTATCCTGTCCACAGCTCCATCCTCTTATTGCTGACTGGGGATGGAAAAGCCCTTCCTGTCCTTGAGGCAGAGTTTCCAGGGCTTTGCAAACTGCTCATCACACCTTGCTCCAGAGAGATTCAAAGCCCAGAGAAAGGGACATCCTGAAGAACCTCCTGGGATGGGCTCTAACTCATCCTTGGTTTGTTTGCCATACTTGGCAAAAAATCCCACAAGCCTGATTTTGCTCTCTACTTGTCCCCATGGGCCACAGGACACATGGCAAAATGCTTCCTTTTCATGGAATGGTTTGGGTTGGAAGAGACCTTAAAGATCATCCCATTCCACCCCCCTGCCATGGCCAGGGACACCTTCCACTAGCCCAGGTTGCTCCAGCCTGGCCTTGGACACTTCCAAGGTGATTCAGGATGGAAAATCTCCAAATTCTGTTTTCATAAATTAGTTTGTAATTAAAAAAAAAAAATAGAGAGAAGAAACAAAACAAGCAGGAGACTGACAAAATGGGAAGGAAAAATCTTTAGACTTCACCCGAATTGTCCCCATCTCAGCACCACACACACTACCCACCACCCAGTTTCTGGCTCTAAAAAAGGGGTTTGTATCAGAGATCCTGGTGATTTCAGCAAAATCGCTCTCTTGACAGAAAATAGACACTTTGTTTCTTTCAGAACCAGGTTTGAGGGGATAAATTCTCAGAAATAATGAGTTTTGAGCACAACCCTGACACAGCAACTCTGATACAAGCCCCGAGCCAAACCTGCAGCTCCAGCAGAGGTAGGATATCTCCTTCTCTCCACCCAGCGGCAGGGAGCTCATTTTTATTCATGTTTCAGAGGCAAAGTGTCAGTGTGAAAGTCCCATCTGAGCACTATAAATCTGTTCCCATGCAATTGCTTCCAAAACACAGGTTTTCTAAATGACAATGCCCCAAGGTCAGGGGGGGAATAACCCCCTGCCTGACTCCCCTAATTGAGCATTAGGCCAGAGAGCAGCAGAATAAAAACCTGCCCACGCTCATCTGGCTGTGCCTGCCCTGCACTGACCTTCAGAACACAGACAGTTTCCAACAAATTAAAGAGACAATATTCAGGAAATATGGAGGAAGCTGACACGGACTGACTTCAGAAGGCCACTTCTTATAAGTAATTACCAAAGTGCAGAATATTTCCTTCAAAAAACACCCAACCCAACCTTTAGCAGTTGCCTCCCCAGACTAAGCTCTTCAGCACAAAGAGCTCACTCACTCCTAAACAAGTTAATTGCAGTGGATTACTGGATTCAAACCACCCTTCTGCTTTTAGCTGCTCAGACCCTGGCTCCAGGCAGTGCCAGCCACCCTCGGTGGGACAGGAGGTCAGCCCGGCTTGGATACTGTCACTAGCCTTCATGAGGGAGTCTGGAGAGGTTTTTTGAGGATGAAAAGTTGCCAGTGCTGCTGTGGGTGTGATTCCTGCTCAGTTCTGGATGCACCTAAGCCGCAAAACCCCTCCAGCTGAAGAGGGTCTTTCCCTTCCCATGGCTCTGCTCCAGGCTCACAGATTGCACCCCTCTTTCCTGCCTGGATCTGGGCTCTGATGAGATTTTTGCCTCTGTTTCCTGCCCACCTGAGCCATAAAGCATAGACTCACAGAAGGGTTTGAGCTGGAAGGGACCTTAAAGGTAATTTTGTTCCAGCCCCTCTGCCACGGGCAGGGACACCCTCCACTATCCCAGATTGCTCCAAGCCCTGTCCAACCTGGCCTTGGACACTTCCAGGGAACCCAACAGTGTGCCTAAGTTGCATCTTGAGGGGTTCCCAAGGAGGTGGGCTGAGCACAGGGAGGAATATCCCTCTTTCCTACTGGCATTGCAGCCCACGGCTCATCCTCTCTGCCAGCAGAGGAGCCCTGTCCGTGTGGGAGGAGGGAATTCTCACACTTACGTTTGATGAACTCGACCAGAGAGAGGTTCTGTGTGTGTTCAGGCCTCGCCCTCAGCTGGCTGAGCATGTCCTCCTTCTTCTTGCTGTCACTCTCCTTCCCACTCACCACCTGGGGGCAGAGGACAGGCTGTCACTGCACAGATCATGCCAGGGTTTCCCCTGAATTCACTTCTCCTCTCCCAAATCCCTGCAGACACCAGATCGTGCTTCTTGCCGATGGAGTTTGCAACGTTCCTGGGCTTGGCCATCACTGTCTGTGTCCACAATGCCAGGATTCCAATGGGGCTGAAAGCATCCATATATCCATGTTACAGGGGCACAGAGCTTCCCCACCTTTCCCAACAGGAATGGATCACACTTCATCAACGCCAAGCTGTGACATTACCCAGGTACAGCCCACTGTGTGCTCAGCTCCCAGGAATATGGAAATCCAGGAGGTGTAAACCTTTGCAGTGGGAAAGATGGATACCCTTAGGGAGATGGGTTTCCTCCCCAGAGGTTCTTTTTTACCTCTGAGTGTGGGGAGGGAACAGCCATAAGAATCCAAGGGGTGACACACCTGGATCTCCACCCAGCTTCCAACCAGTCTGGACACTGGTTTTGGGTGGAGGATGAGCAGGTCCCGTGCCTCTGGGTGCAACAACCAAGTGTGCAAGTGCCCTCTTACAGCAAGGAAAGAGGCAGCAATTGTAAGGGGAAACAAATCCAGGCAAGAAGGGAGTCTGGGATGGAGGCAAAATGTCTTTCATCTCCCAAAGGCTGCCCAGGGCAGTGGGGGAGGCCCCATCTCCAGAGGGATTTAACAGCCTTGTGAATGTGACACTTGGGGACATGGGTTAGTGGTGGCTTTGTCTGGGCTGGGGGAATGGTTGGACTAGGTGGTCTCTGAAGGCTTTTCCAACCTAAACAATTCTGTGATTCTATGGTTCTGTGTCCCAGAGCCACCTGGAGCAGGGATGTACTGGCAAGAACAGGGAGCAGCCACTGACCCCTGACCTCTCCCAGCCCCTTTTAATTCTTCTTCTGCTCCTGGAAACTTCCACTGGATTCAAGCAACTCCTCCTCCTTTAGTGCTTTTAATTTCTTTTAGCCACACTGAATTATGTTGTCACTACCCCAGGATCATGGAAGATCACCCAGTTCCACCTCCTGCCATAGGCAGGGACACCTTCCACTAGCCCAGGTTGCTCCAAGCCCCATCCAACCTGGACACCTTGGACACTTCCAGGGATGGGGCAGCCACAGCTTCTCTGGGCAACCTGTGCCAGGGCCTCACCACCTATGGAGTGCTTGGAGCATCCAAGGTCCTTTGTAGCCTCACTAGATGACAGCCTGCCAGAGGCAAGTGTCCAACATCCCATGGCATCCTTCCTCCCTCAGCCAGCAGAAGCCAAGGGAGTGGAGGATTTCTTGGACGAACTTCTGCAGGCTGCAGCCTACTCTGCAGGCTTTTAGGGGAATCACTGGACCAGAGGGCATTAATTAGTTTAGACGTGCTACTGTGCATGAGTAACAGCAGAAGGGGTTCAAGCAAGAGTGTGGTTTTCATGGAAAACCACAGAGTATTTCCAGACAGAGCCAACAGCCTCAGTTCTGACATCTCCCACTGGCTCAGCAGCAGCTCTGCTGCAGCTCCCAGCACAGATCTGAGCTGGACAAATGAGTTCATTCAACAGCAATTAATGTTCTTAATGGACAGAAAGAAATAGGCAGCTCTTGGGCTAAAATGATCTCTTTTGCCCTGAAACCCAGACTGGTTATTAAACACCAGAGAGGGCAAAGTGCCTGTGCTGCAAGTGCCACGTTCCCTTTTTGAGGGCAAAAGTGATGAAACCCCCTTCCTGTTTTTTTTAATGCTGGAGCTCAGGGTTTAATACATTTTTCAAATGCACAGATAAAATCCAGCTCTCCCTTTCACTTTTCAATTAGTTACAAGGTCTCTTCTCTCTGCTCTGAAGCTGCAGCGTTTTCCAAAAATACATTCAAGCTGTTACTGACTGTGGCTTTCTCAGCTTCCACCTGATTATACTTCAGGGAGTCAACAGCCTGTACATCCAGAAAAAAACCACAAATTCCCCCAAATTCTCCAGTCTGGCATGTCTATGTGTGAGTGTGACCCTTGCAAGTAGGATTTCTGTGCTGGCTCAGCACCCACCCCAAGAGCAGCTGCTCCCTGCACATGGAGCAAAGCCCTCTTGGAGGAGGAATACTCCTCTCCCCACACTGGCCTGGCCCCTGCTATATTTTTTTGCTGCCTGAAAAGATCAGGAAATGCCTTCCTGTGGGATGAAGGAAAGCAGCAATCCTGCCTGCTTGCTGTGGATGATGCTGGAATGATGCTGGAATGATGCTGGCTGTACCATCAGGGATGCTCGAGCCCTGCAAGGATGCTCTGCATCATGCCAAGGAAAAACAAACTGAGCTTTGCAAAATGCCCCCACACTTGGATTTTTCTGGATGATTCCTCAAAGGACTCAGGTTCCTGGTGCACCTGATGTTTTTGCAATGGGACTTTTAACTGTCCGTAAGATTTTGCCCAGAGAAGTTGTGGCTGCTCCATCCTTGGAAGTGCCCAAGGCCAGGTTGGATGGGGCTTGGAGCAACCTGGGCTAGTGGAAGGTGTCCCTGCCCATGGCAGGGGGCTGGAATGGATGAGGTTTAAGGTCACTTCAACCCAAACCATCCTGTGATTTTCTATCACCATCAGTTCCATCCTCATGGGGGATGGAGGAGGCAGACAGGCTTGTGAGGAAGGAGGATGAAGCTCCCACACACTTTGCATTAGGAAGAGCACCCCTAACCTGACCCTGACCTGAAGAAACCCCCCATTTCCCTGTACAGACATGGATAAATCAGGTACGACTGACCGGCTTTGCAGGAAAGGATAACAAATGCAGCTTCCCTGCTCTCACCCACCTGCTACTGCACCTGCAAGAAGGGCAGCCAGAGGTGCCATCAGCCTGGTTTTATCCAAATCCTCCACTGGAAACAGGGATAAATGACCTGCTCTGTGACAGAGAGGTATTCTTTGTTTAATTTGAGGTGTCTGCAGAGTTCCCCTCTGGCTGTGCAGAACCTGGCACTCCCAACTCAGTGAAAAGTAAGGTCAGATAAGTTATTTTCATGTTAAACAAACAAAATGTAAAACCTCACAGCTTGGAAAAGAATTATTTTCCTCTTGACAAGGTCATGCTCCCTACAAACACTTCATTACGGCTCTTCCAGCAGGTGTGGGTCCCACCAGGGACCTTATTTCCTGGAGTGTTAAAATAACCAACCAAGGGGCACCTTGCTCCCATGAAATGGGATGAGTATTTTTAGCTGCTGTTTGTGTCTGTCTTTAAAGCTCCCTGGGGAAAATCTTAACATAGAGACCAGCCCATTCCTTTCCTGTGTCCTGCCTCTTGACCCCTCTTTACTCCTCAGATGATGCCTTGTATTTCTAGGCTGCCTTTGGTGGTGCTTTAGGAGCTTTAATGAGGCATCACAGAGCAAAGGTTTCCAAAAAAATACCCCCATTTTCAGTACCTATAGGAAGGCTGGAGAGGGACTTTTTGCAAGGGCAGGGAGTGACGGGACAAGGGGGAATGGCTTCCCACAGGGTTAGAGGGGATATTGGGAAGGAATTCCTGGCTGTGAGGGTGGTGGGGCCCTGGCACAGGTTACCCAGAGAAGCTGTGGCTGCTCCATCCCTGGAAGTGCCCAAGGCCAGGTTGGACAGGGCTTGGAGCAACCTGGGCTAGTGGAAGGTGTCCCCATCCCATGCACATGGCAGGGGGTGGAATGGGATGGGGTTTAAGGTCCTCCCCAACCCAAACCATTCTGGGATTCTGTGAAATGAGAGGAGAGCGAGAAACATTTCCAGGACCATCTCTGCACAAGCATATGGGGGATCCATGGAAGGAGTTAAGTGTGATGTGAGGAAGAACTGAAGATGGTGCTTCCAGCAGGCCCTGCTGCACCACTGGAAACCAGATCCAGACTGGTCCAGCACTGGGCAAACCAGCTTGTGGATGGGATGGGTTGGTTACAAGCAGAGCTGCTGGGATGGAGAAACACAGAGGATCAGCAGCTTCCCTGACCCAGCCAAGGAAGGCTTTCCATAACCATGCCAGTATAGCAAAGATTGGGAGAATATTTAATCAGGATTAGGGACAGAATAACAAATTAATGACTGAAATGCAGACTGGAGATTGGACAGAGCTCTGCAACATGCAGGGAAATCAGTTTTTGAAACCTCCTAGCAGTGAGGCATAGGAGGAAAGCACTGGTGAGGTGATCTGATATCCAGAGAGGGTTGTGTGACAGCAAACTGGAGCCACCAGGGCTTGGACATGACCAGGACATGTAAACCTATAAAAAACCTATAAAAATCCCAAACAATCCATCATAGCTTTGTCACAAGACATCTGTCTGCAGATGCCAAGTGCAGACATTGCAAGGGAAGTGTATGCAGATGTTTGGGTTTGTGTTTGGAGTGTCACCTGAACCAGGAGATATCTGGGTGGACAAGACACATCTTGCACATGAGAAATGCTGAGCGAGGGCAATGCTCCTACTTCTGTTTAAGGTGCTGCTGAGAGCACTTTTCTCCTTTTCAATCCCTTTTCATGTCATTCATGGAGCTGCCAAGACAGAGATTGTGCCCAAGGAACAGCACAGGGATAACCTTGAGCAGTGGGAATACAACTACTTGGGGTGGGATACAAGAACAGCAACAGATGGCAAAGCATGAGCTAAACCTTGGCTACACAGCCGTTGGAAAGCCCTTAAATGCTGTAGTTGCGAACAATACAGGACACAACTCCAAGGAATGTTTCCAGCTCATGGAGGCAAGACTAAGCTGAAATTACTTCCCAAAGATAGCAGCATGTGGGTAGTGACTCAGGAGATCAGAGAATCACCCTGGCCTTGGACACTTCCAGGGATGGAACAGCCACAGCTTCTCTGGGTAGCCTGTGCCAGAGCCTCCCCACCCTCACAGGGAAGGATTCCTTCCCAATATCCCCTCTAACCCTGCCCTCTGGCAGTGGAAAGCCATTCCCCCTGTCCTGTCCCTCCATCCATTGTCCAAAGTCCCTCTCCAGCTCTCCTGGAGCCCCTTTAGGTGCTTTAAGGGGCTCTGAGGTTTTCCTGGACCCTTCTTTTCTCCAGGCTGAACCCCTCCAGCTCTCCCAACCTGATTACACAGTCCTTTGTGATGGAAGAGCTGTCCTGCTTGTGTCCTTTACCTAACACTGATTTAGTCCAAGGCCAAGCAAGAAGAAGTGATTTATATATACACATTTATATATTTTTAGATATACATATTAATATATATATGTACAAACCAAAAAGCACCCGTAACAATGCAGATTTCCAACAAGTCTTTGAGTGCTCCCACAGCAATGTTTTACCCAGAACAGCACCTGGCAAAGTTTCTACAAGGGTTTTTATTTTCATTTTTAAGCAGGGCCCCTTCCTGCTGCTGATGGTGCTGATACCCCCATGGGATAGGCCTGGCTGGCCCTGGCGTCTCCCATCCTGCAAGGAGGGCAGGATTTTGCTATCACTTAGACTATTTTCCTGTTGTTGCTTTTTAACTGTCAGCAGATTCCAAAGGCTTTCTGAGGGAGATGGTAAAATGGGGAAATATTCAAGAAGATCTAGGGATCTGGGCAGCAGGGGGATATGTGGGTGCTCAGCCATGTGGGAGCATTCCCTACAGGTCCCAGCCAGTAGAGCAGTGAAATCTGTTCTTTTTAAATCAATATCCACCCATTCCTTCCTTAAACTCCTCTGAGCAGGTCAGAGTGCAGAACTTGCCAAAAAGTGCACCTCTTTTAGTACAAAGTACATTATTTTCACTCCAGAGCCGTTTATGAAATTAATATTCCCCTCAGCCCTAATGAAGAACCTTTCCCCTAAGATGGAGTGTGGTACCCTGAGCAGGCTCTGCTAATACAGATTATCCCTAAGGACTTCAAAGCCATCCAAGCTGCAGGAGGATAAATCAGGCACGTTGAATTTAGGAGCACACTCATCCTGCAAGACACTCATCCTGCAAGACTGAGCAGTTTTCACCCCATCACCTCGCAGCACTTTTGCAAACCTCAGGGCCTATATAACCCAGGAGTGAATCATTACATCCCCATAGGTTTAACTGGTAAAACAGGTCGCATTTTCCCAGGCAGGGAAACCCCAAACCTCCCTAAGAATCATTCATTCCTGTGGAAACTCAGGCAGAATTATTCTGCACCAGACAGTGCACGGGCTTGTTCAGACAGGAAAGTTTTGATGCTGCCTCAAGGTAAAATACGTGGAAGGCAGTTACACAGGTCAGAGTGTGGCCAAGACATCGAGATGAGCACAATTTCACCAACTAAGCATGTCCCAGCAGCGTCCCCTAAAAGCAGAGTTTGTTCTGTGTTATTCCTCCCGACATGCTGGGAAGCGCTTGGGAAGCTCACAAGTTGTTTCCCATCTTGGCATAAGCACTGAAGCTCTCAGGAGGGCTCCAGAGCAGGAAAAACCCTGGCAGTAAACACAGAGTAAAGTAGTGTCCTTTTTTGGACAGTGGACTCCAGTGGGCTCCAGAAGGAGGAGCATCCCCTGAGCAAACAGATGCTATTAGGATGTGCAGCAACAGTCTCAGGCTGCTGGAGGTTTTTCCCTGGCAGTTATTTCCAAGGACTTTACAGAGCCAGAGTGTTTATGGGCTGGGAAGCGTTTAAAATCCTTTTGGCCAGCAAAAAGGTCCCAGTGAGAGGGGGTGAGGGTAGCTGGATGTGGGAGCAGCAGCCGAGCCCAAGCCCCGTGGACGAGAGGATTTGCAGTGGAAACAAGACAAACCACCCCCCAGCCTCAGTAGTACCAACACCCCCAGGGGACACCCCACTTCCAAGAAAAGGCTCCTGATGAATTATTCACATTTCCTATAAACTGGATGGATCATCTCACAGAGCACATGTGGCTTCCCCGGAAGGGAAACAAGGGCCACTGGTGCAACATCTCCCACCAGCTCCCCAAAGAGATAATGGAATCACAGACTGGGTTGGGTTGGAAGGGACTTTAAAGATCATCTCATTCCACCCCCTTGCCATGGACACCTTTCACTAGCCCAGGTTGCTCCAAGCCCTGTCCAACTTGGCCTTGGACACTTCCAAGGATGGGGCAGCCACAGCTTCTCTGGGCAACCTGTGCCAGGGCCTCTCCACCCTCACAGGGAAGGATTTTTTTCTCAATATCCCCTCTAGCCCTGCCCTCTGGCAGTGGGAAGCCATTCCCCCTTGTCCTGTCCCTCCAACCCTTGTCCCAAGTCCCTCTCCAGCTCTCCTGGAGCCCTTTTAGGCACAGGAAGGGACTCTGAGGTCTCCCCAGAGCCTTCTCTTCTCCTGTCTGAACAATCCCAGCTCACCCACCAACATCCCCAAGTCCTTCTCCTCAGGGCTCCATCCACACCCCACCCAGCCCATGCCTGAGTTTGCAGGAGCAGGACCATGGAATCACAGAATCACTTAGGTTGGAAAAGACCTCTGAGACCGCTGAATCTAACATTGTCATTGCTTCCCTAAGGAAGCCAAGGAGACCCACCTGCAGGTGAGCCAGGAGGGTGGCTTTGAGAAGGACCACAATCCACACAGAACCTTTCCACTGCTGCACATTCCCACGCAGAGGAATCAACACACAGGCACTGCTTCAGTGCTCCACCACGAAATGATCACATCCATAAGCTGCTGAGCATCACAAGGACCTCTGACATGAGAGATGAGAGCAAACCAAGCTCCCCTCCAGCTTTGGGATGCAGCTCTGAGCTGCACCACCACTTTCCCATGGATGCAGCAGCTTCAGCTTCTGCTGGAGAGGGAGGGATGTGCATTTAAACATGAGGGGTTTGTGTGCAGTGCCAACAGATCCACCTGCAGCACCTCTCTTACCTCTTTTGGCATCTCCCGTGGGAAGAAGAAATATGGCACTGCAGACAGAGCTACCAGGCTGGCTGCCACCAGGAACCCGAGCCACCAGGCACCCACCCACCGCGGGTCCTCATGGGTGAGCTGGACTTGAGCTGCAACACAGACAGAGAGAGGGGCATCAAACCAGCAGTGAAAACAGGAAGGGACCCCACTGCACCAACGGGATGGTGATGGGTGGCCTCTGGCACCCTGAACATCAATCACTCCAGAGTGGTGGCTCCCAATCCAGGGACCATCAGTTCTCACCCCATGGTGTTAAATCAGTTTTCATTTTTTGCTATTGCCAGGGTCTCCAAAAAGCCACTCAGCCCTTTGGATGGAGACAACCGGGACAAGGATATCTTACAACTAGAAAGGCAAAGGAAAGCACCCCTATCACCGCTTTTCCAGAGAAGGGACACCTGTGTTGTGGAAAAGCTTGGAAGTACTCAGGGGGATTAAGTCATGATGGCTGTCAATACAGAAGGAAAAATTCCTTCTGAAGTTTAAAATTAAATTAATTACAGTTAACTTTTGGCATCCAAGAGCACTGGTTTAGTTGTTTACAATCGCCCTACCCACACAAGGATCCCCTGTTGGCAGAAGACTTGAATCCTGGAGTGGTGCCCACCACTCTGGTCCATCACCCAGTGCCTGCTTTGCAGCTCAAGCAAAGGAAGCTGATCTTTAAAGATGCTTTAATAAGAATTCTATCCCATTCTCCTGTCTGTCTGCCCACATTTTTCCCAGCCTCCTCTCCTGCCATCCTCAGGGCTCTGTGCCAGCAGTAACATCCCCCATGGCGAGGGTACCTGGCACCGATAAAACAGGACACGCAGAAGCCACAATGTAAATTCACAACAGGGTGAGTCTAAGCAAGAAATATTTCTCCAGAAAAAGATGATCCCTGTGGTAAGATGGCATTCAGGAGCATATCCCAGGAAACAAGTCCTCCCAGAAACCTCTTCCTTGACGTTTAACATCAGTGAGCTGTTCACACCAGGGAGGTACAGGTGAAACTGCAGTTTACCGGGTTTTGGTACAGCCACATCTGATCTCCCATCTCTAGAAGTGACAAGTGATAGGAAAAGGAAATTTGATAATCTCCTCCCTGCATTTCAGTAAAATGGAATTTTAAATCCTTTCCTGATAAACACCAATTTATTTTTCTCCTAGTAAAACAATAGCTTTAACTCTAAGTAGCCACAGCTTGTCAGCTTTTCCCAGGTGGCTGAAGACACTTTTAGGCTGAAGGGAGCCTAATATCCCATCTAACCCTGCCCTCCGGCAGTGGGAAGCCATTCCCCCTTGTCCTGGCACTCCAGACTCTTGCCCAAAGTCCCTCTCCAGCTCTCTTGGAGCCCCTTTAGGACTGGAAGAGGCTCTAAGGTCTCCCTGGAGTCTTCTCCAGGCTGAATATTTACTCTGTTAACAACCAGGAAAGAGCCTCTTGTTTTCCAGACCATGATTCAAGAGCAGCCAAAAAGGAGATGATTACAAATGCTTTAACAGCACATCTCAGGGAGAGACATTTGAAAAGGAAATCCCTTTTGTGCTCCTTTCTTGCCCTATCCAGCATTTCCCTTCTCCTTGTTTTCACCTTCCTCCCATCCTACCATGCTTCTTCACACCTCAGGGCTGGTACCCATTTTCCAGCTCCATCTTTCTCCTTCATGCATCTCCCTGGGTTTTGGTTGTTCTCCACATCCCCACCACTGGCTGGCAGCAAAACAATCCTGCCAGTGGTGCTGGCATATGGTAAGAAATTCGTGGAATTTTTCTTAAAAATCCCTCTCAGGGCATGTTCACTCACCTCCGCTGACTTTGTCGATGTCCACGTAGAATTGCAGCATGGCAGAGCCCAGCATGAAGGCCACCCCTGGCCCAATGACAGTCACAGAGAACAGGATTCCTGCAGAGAGATGAGAGCAAAGAGGGCTCAACCCTGTGGGAAAGGACCACAGGGACAGGAGGTGCCTCCAGACAGGACCAGGCTCCTCCATGTCCGCCTCCAGCACAGCTGATTTTCCTGGCAGCTTCCTCAGTGCCCCTTTCACACACCAACAGTCCCTTGCTCCCTTCAAAGAAAAGGTTTTGCAAGGCTCAGACCTTTCCTGCCACTCTTCTTCAGCCTCCTAGAAAGACTGGAATACGCCCAGGAACAAGATGTGCCTCTTGGCATAAGAAACCCAGGAAATGCCGAGATTTTTTACAGGGTGAAGGAGATAAAAGTTATCAGTGAACTGTCCTATGTGAATTACTGATCAAAAATGTATCAACACATGGGAGATTCAACTCCTGCCTTATATGTGATCCTTTCAACTGAGGTTCAGAGGTTTGAATCAACCACCAGAGCAAAATTTGATGCTGTACTTCCAGTTTTTTGACAGTGCTGACCTGGTTTTGATCCACCTTTGCTGTTCCATTCAGTTCAATTCAATTCAATTTAATTCAGCTCAATTCAATTCAATTCAATGTTATTCACAGATAACAGCTAACAAAGGAGTAGAGGGACCCGCAAGGACCATCTTGTCCATCCCACCACCCTGGGACATTCCTTTCAGGCCTGTGCCCAAGCAGTTCTCCAGCACCCCTCTCTGCTGAAGGATACTCTCCCATCTCCAAGATGCTTCCTATAATTTTGTAATAATATTTAAAAATTTTTGAATTTTTAATTATTTGTTATTTTTTAGCTTCCTATAATATTCCTAACATCTAAACAGAGTCTTCATTGCTGCACCTTAAACCCATTGCTGCCTTTTGTGAACACAGAGATCAGATTATTCCTCTTCGCCTTCTTGAAGTCTTTTTGGAGGAGGACATGGTTATTATATCTGTCTCCAGGCCAAAAATCCCAGCATTTCCCTCAAATCATGTTTTCCAGCACTCCAGGTCTGTCTAATGTTTGTCCAAGCTTGAAGCTTTGCCATCAGTCTCATCCTGGCTCCCTCTCTTCCCACAGCCTTACCCAGATAGAGGGGGGAGTTCCTCTTGTTGGCGAAGTCGTCGATGTAGGAGATCCCAAAGGGCTGGATGGGGACACCACCAATGCCCAGCAGGGCCTGGGCAATGAACATGACCAGGAGAACCTCGTGGTTCTCCCTGCTGGCACGGGGGGTGCAGTTGGCATCACTGAGGTTCGCCCAGGACCTGGGCTGGCACAGGTCAGTGGTGTTGCTGAACGTGCCTGTGGGTGGCAAGGGGAACAGGTCTGAGGAGCTTGGTCTGGAGAAAGAGCTTCCCAAAGATCGCAGCATGTGGGTAGTGACTCATCCCTGGCCTTGGACACTTCCAGGGATGGGGCAGCCACAGCTTCTCTGGGCAGCCTGTGCCAGGGCCTCCCCACCCTCACAGCCAAGAATTCCTTCACAATATCCCATCTAACCCCACCCTCTGACAGTGGGAAGCCATTCCCCCTTGTCCAGCCACTCCAGGTTCTTGTTCCAAGTCCCTTTCCAGCTCTCCTGGAGGCCCCTTTAGGCCCTGCAAGGGGCTCTCAGGTCTCCCTGGAACCTTCTCTTCTCCAGGTGAACACCCCCAGCTCTCCCAGCCTGGCTCCAGAGCAGAGGAGTTCCAGCCCTCTGAGCATTTCCATGGCCTCCTCTGGACTTGCTGAATCAGCTCCACATTCTTCTCATCTTATCCCTAGATGTTGTATGGGAGAAAATCCAAAGCAAGTGCAGAGGTTACTGTACAGATGTTCACAGAGATGGATGCACATGCCATGAAAAGCCACCTCCATTGAAGAAGTGGAGCTGAGGTCACTTCCAGGACCTTTGATATTCCTTCCAAGAAAGGTAAGTGAGGAGAACTGCAGATTTTGTGAACAGCTACTCAGGAAATGAGAACTCATTTTCCCCAGAAAAAGCTTACAAAGCTGCCTAAGTGAAAGTGCTGATTCAGGCACCCTTATCTTCCTCAAAATACTGAGGGGGAGGTGCTTTTAGCAGGATTTCCATGGTTATCCCCTAAATCCTGTGGAACTCTGAGTGCTCAGACATGGAGTCACCTGCACCAACAGGTGGCTAATTATTTCCAAACTGCCATTAGCATCCTGTTTGCAGCCATGACTTATTCACCTATTGTTTCCCTGGTGCCTATTGCAAAGTGGTGCTTTTCTTCAGCTGAAAAGTGGCTTTGGACAAACAGATCATCTCTGTGTGAACCAGCTGAGATCCCTCTGCTGAGCCAGAGGAGGCTTCTAAAAGAATTGCTGGAGCAAAAGATTTGGAGAGGTAACAAGAAAGTGCTTTTCTCCTTCTTTTCTCATCCCTTCACTTTCTTTCAGGGAAAAAATCCCAAATTCACCCTGGTCTGTTCCCTCCATGAATGATTTAAACTGCATGTTCCCCATGGGAGGTTGATTTTCTGGTGGGGTCTAAAACCTCAAAGCATTCCCTCGAGCTCAGCTAGGCAGGGGAAGACAGGTGAGGCTGGAGAAACAGGAGAAGTTGGGTGTGAAACCAGCACTCTCTCATTGCAGACAACAGCATTCACCCCTTGGAGTGAGCCAAGCTCCTTCCCAGACCTCCTGTTTCCTTTCCACAATGGGCTACAGGTGACAGAGCTCATGAGACTTTATCTTATTTACATTATAATAAGTTCCCATTCACGAGGACAACTTGGCTCAACCCATGGAATATGAGAACCCTGGTGGCTGGAGAAGACCTTCCTGGCACCCAGGGTTTGTCTGCTGTATGGGTGTGCACAAAACAAGGGCAATCAGAGGCACAGCCTGTGTTTTGACTGTTTTCATGTCCTTTCCCATGGTTCCAGGGTCCCCATGTCCCCTGGCTCTTCTTCCCGCCACAGCTGTTGCCTCTCAGGACTGAGATGGTTTCATTCTCAGAAAAATAAAATTCCTTGAGGACAAACTTGCAGCTCCCAACCTCTCTAGGGAAGGGAATTTTGTAATGGCTTCCCACTGCCAGAGGGCAGGGTTAGGTTGGCTATTGGGAAGGAATGCTTGGCTATGAGAGTGGAGAGGCCCTGGCACAGGTTGCCCAAAGAAGCTGTGGCTGCCCCATTCCTGGAAGTGTCCAAGGCCAGGTTGGATGGGGCTTGGAGCAACCTGGGATAGGGGAAGGTGTCCCTGCCCATGGAAAGGGATGGGGTTTAAGGTCCCTTGCAACCCAAACCATTCTGGGATTCTATTATTTCCCTTTTCTATCCCAAAAGGCCTAAAATAAGCTCCTAGAGCACTTACTGGCAACAGACTGGTCAAACTCATAGGGCCCAGTGATGAAGTGGGGCAGGGACATGAGGAACCCGGCCAGGGACACAAGCAGGGCACCGGCGCCGATAAACCGCGGTCTGTGCACTCGGCTCCCAAAGTAACTGATGAAGACGATCAGCAGCGTGTTCCCCACCTGCAGCAGGACACAGAGAGCAAAAGGTCTCGCAGGGGAACACGAGGAGCATGGGGAGAGCAGGAGAAGAAAGCTGGTTTCACCTCATTGAAGGAAGCGAGCAGCCCTGACGTCCGGCTGGAGAGGCCATACCGTCTCTCAATGGTGGAGATGGAGCTCTTCAGGTACCCGGAGACCAGGAGCTGGGAGAGCTGCAGCAGCCCATGGCAGAACACAAAGAACTGCCAACACAAAAAGAGAGCATCCAGCACGGTTACTGAGAGCTGCAGCACAACAAACTGCATCTCCAGAGAAAGGTACAGTTATTGAACATAAACCTTTGACCACGAGCCTTTGAAATATTATCCCTGCTCTGCCATCAGTGAAATCTTCTGAAATTAATAGAGACATGAAATAGTGCTCTGCCAAAAATAATGATGGGGTCACTATCTGCAAGGAGGGTGTAATTTCTTCAGATGAAAAGTGGCTTTGGACAAACACGTTGTTTCAGTTGGGATGATGCTTGTTTGTGTTGGCCTTGTCCCTAAGATCCAGAAGCAGAAGTGGGAGGTTGCACAATTCCTGTTCCCATCCAGCCAGAGGCAGCAGCCATCCCCAGTGCTGGAAACAATTCTGGGACAGGAATGAGCCCTTCTAAACACAGCAACAAACAACTTCTTCAGAGAAAACCAGGAGAAGGTCAGGGAGAATAATTCAGGCTGTTTTCCTTTCCTTCTTAAAAAACCCTGGATGTAAAGGACATCTCCTTTGGAAAATGTGAGGGTTCTTTTCCACTTCCAGAAGGAAACCTTGCCAAAGTCCATCCTCTCCCAGAAGATAATCTGACTTCATCTCCTCCAGAGTTTGGGATGTGCAGGTGCTGGGCTGCCCAGGGGAATACGTGGCTCGAGCTGACCCACAGAGAACAGAGTCTATCTCCCTGGTCCTCTCACAGAAACATTTCCCAAGTGCCAAGTGACCTGTCCAAGAAGGGAAGGGGAGGGATGGACCTCCCCTTTATCCACAGCTCTACAAAGTACTCAGTAAATGAAAGGAGCTGGCAAGTCATCTCCTTCCCCACATGGCTCTCCACAGGCATCCTTCCAGTGCCCGAAGGAGGCAAAAAACCTGACCAGCCCAAACATTCCACATTCCCTAAAGAGGTGGACCACCCATCTCACTGCAGGACAGGCTGGATGCCTCTGGGTCCTTCCAGAGCTGCTGCCTCAACCTTGGATGATGCCCAAACCCTCAGGGCGCTGGTTTTTGCAGATCTTTACTCTCTTGCTGACCAGAGCAGGGCACTGCTCCAGCTCTGATTTTGCAGCTCCCACCACAGAGCAGCCTCACCTAGAGGAGCTGCTCAGCCTGGCCTGGGTTTCTGCCACATCTCCTTCTGATCTAGGGCTAGAGTGGGATCACTGCCAAACTGGGCTGCTCTGTCAGCCAGGGGAGTATTTACAGCACAGAAGGGGACAAAGAGGATGGTCAAGCCCCCCCTGGGTCCCTGAGAACTGCAGTGCTGAGGTTACCGCCACCCAAAGTGATGGGTGGGTATCATGCAAACCAGGGTACAATCCAGGACCTCCCCCCTTCCAGGCTCATGTCACCACTGATGGGTGCAACGTGTGCAGACCAGGAAAATGTCACCCAGCCAAAGGAAAGCTTCCCCAGAGCCAGCTTTGCCAAAACTCCTATATTCCTACAAGACACTGGCTTTGTCCAGGCTCTGTTTCCTGAATACAAGAGCTCAGAATGGAAAGGCTGAAGCCAGATTCGTTTATTCCAGACATCCACAGCACACAGCCCAATGTGTATCCCAATCCAGGACCTTCAAATCATGCTGGTTTACATCAGCCCAGCAGCTGCCCACCACTGCCCCACATCCTCTGCAGCTCAGGAGGTCAAAAGGGTTTGGGAATCTGGTGTTTTATCCTCTCATCTAGGCAGAGTAAAGCACAGAATAGAGAGAGGGCCCTGCAAAGGACCTGCAGTGGGTTGGGGTCAGCACCAGGCAAGGCCCCCAGTTCTGGCTCCAGGGGCTGTTTGCTGTCAGCTACCAGACCACAGCACAGCTGCTCTTCTGCCAGGGAAAGAAAGGACAGACTCCTGGACTTTAGATCTGCTGGACTGGTGGAGCTGGCCTGGGTCTGATGGGCTGCCCCAGCAGCTGACCTGGGTCTGCAAGCACCAGCCTTTTCCCAAGTGCTGCATCCTCACAGCACAACAAATCCAGGTGCAGCCCCAGAGCTGGGTGCTCCCAGAAAAAACCCCAAGTTCAGCTGTCTGGCACCAGTTTCCCATGGAAAGGCCAGGACATGCTTGTAACATCTCCTCTCTACATCAGCAGAATTATAAAACAACTCGGAGAATCCACAGGAGCACTTCCGTAGGCTGAGGAGGAAGGAAGGGAGAGGTTTTGCAATGGCTTTTTTAAATAAACATCTGTGAAGCATTAATAGAAGAGCCTGTGTTGAGGCGACACCAAACACCTGAACCAGGGACAGGGGGTGCTTGGTACCAAAAATAATCCCCTTGCAGTGCCAGGGTGCAGAGCAACCTTCTGCACTGTCCACACCCTCCACAACCAGTTCTGGGAAAAGTGCATTTTTGCTCTGCTACACGTCCAAGGAGGAGCTTCTCTGATCAGATTTGCTGCTTTTCTACTTTTCTAGATAATTTTTAATGTATTCTTGCTGGCTTTGCTCTGCTAAGCCTCGCACCACGTTGCTGAGGTGTTGCTGCTCCCACCCCACATGTGTAAGAGAACAGAGAAACACACTCCATCCCACGCAGCCAGGAAACTGCAGACCTGGGGACTAAACACCAACATCTCCTCTCTCTTGGTGGTCAAAAAAAACCTTTCCACAAAGGTTGCATGTGTTTCTAGGGTTGGTTGTGCAGTTTGGCAACAAATCCTCCCCGTGAGGGCTCTGAAAGCTGCACACACTGTCCTGCCCCAGCTGACACAGGGAAGTCCCTGTCACGCTGTTTCCATGTGTTCGGGAGACTTTGGCTGCTATTTTAAGGAAGGGTTTTGTGCCTTAGCACATGGTAAACCCCTATGCACTGGGCTGTGCTTACAGAAAATGGGGCTGGGAGGAACCAGCCTGTTCCAGTTTAATCCAAACCAGTTTGGTTGGGTGTGTAGTTGGAAGCGACCTTAAAGATCATCCAGTTCTAACCCCTGGAGAGCTTCCACTAGCCCAGGCTGCTCCAAGCCCCATCCAGCCTGGTTTTGGACACTTCCAGGGATGGGGCAGCCACAGCTTCCCTGGGCAACCTGTGCCAGGCCCTCACCATCCTCACAGCCAACAATTTCTTCCCAATATCTTATCTAAATTTTAATGCTCCTTGAGGCCAAAACAAGCCAGTTTTTAGTTACGCCCTTCAATTGCCTTTTGACACGTGGTAACTAGTTTTTTGTGACACACTCTCTGGAGATATAAATACATATACAAACTGCAGTGCTGTGATTTTTGGTCCTCCAGCCACTTCAAACCCGTAAACCACATTGTGCAATGGTTTTGTGTTTCTGCAAGAGCCATTGAAACCCTGCACTGGAAGTTTTGTTTTCTGAGGAAGTCATTTAGAAACCGGACAGGGTGACCTAAGTTCTTGAAAAAAACCCAAGAGATCTGGGGAAAACATCCTGTGCTGAGCATAATTGTGTGAGTATAATGCATGGTCAGCTCTGCCTTGGGGGTGAAAACAAGTCTCACTTAAGAGACATTTTAAGCCTTTAACACCAGCTGTCATCTTTTGCTCAACAGGCTGGTGAAACTCTCTAACAAGCCAGGTAATTGGCTTCCAACTACATTGAATGCAGCAGTTAATTAATGTTGTTAATTACTGATAAATGCAATTATTGAGCCAAAAGGGAACAAAGCAGATGCTGCAGCACAGGGGGAGCCACCTCAGGTCCAACCTGTAGTTCTGCAGAGCTCTTCAAACACTCACCTGGAGGACCTGAGGTTGCACCGAGTCCAGGAGGGCATAACACTTTGAAGAATGGTTTCCATCTGGCACATGGCAGGGTTAGATGGGATACTGGGAAGGAATTCTTGGCCATGAGGGTGGGGAGGCCCTGGCACAGGCTGCCCAGAGAAGCTGTGGCTGCCCCATTCCTGGAAGTATCCAAGGCCAGGTTGGAGCAACCTGGGATGGTGGAAGGTGTCCCTGTCCATAAAGATCAGCTTCAAGGTCCCACCCAACCCAAATCATTCTGTGATTCCATGAAGTTAAATACTGCAGAACCTGGAAGTTAAATATGCATTTCAGCCTTGCTGTTCCACCACTCTCTCTTGGATGGAGACGGTTCCACCTCAAACGGTGCTTCTGCCACAAGCACATGGAAAGCCAACATAAGCACATGGAAAACTTTCCAAATACACTTGGTAATCAGGAACCCTCTAAATGCCTTCTGCAGAAAGCCAAACTCCTCTTTGGCAGGCCAGTGATCCAAGGGGGTATTGCAGAAAGCAGGATAATTACAGGAAGCACATTTACCTTGATACTGAGGAACGGGCTCCCGCAGAGTGTTTTCCGCGTCAGATCCGGGTAGCTGCTCTTGGTAGCTGTGCTTGTCATCCTGCCAGGCCTGCCAAAATAAATCATCCAGCACAATGCTCAGTTCCTCTGCCTGAATTGCCCTTGCTCAGCACGGCAAGATGTTGTTGTGCTCTGTGAACACCCACACAACGAGCACAAGAAAGTACTAATTATTCCTGGGTTTCATTCTCTCAGAGCACTTTGCTCCCACAAAGCAACAAAGCAGCCCTGCAAAACATTGATCACCAGGAGGCCTGGGAGGTTACATGCTGTGCCACAGAACTAAGGACAATATGTATAAACATTATCTGGGATAATCTGACATCCTTAGCGATGACCTGGGTGAGGGGGCAGAGTGCAGATGGCAGCAGAAAAAAAGACTGGGAGGAGCAACTGGCAAAGCTGATGGTTGTGCTGCCATCCAGAGGGACCTCAACAGGCTGGAGAAATGGGCACTGAGGGATCTCAGTGGGATGGAGAAAGGGGAATTCAGAGAGATCTCAAAGAGATGGAGAAATGGACATTGAGGGACCTTAACAGGCTGGAAAAATGGGCATCCAGAGAGATCTCAAAGGGAGGGAGAAACGGGCACTGAGGGAGCAAATGGGCTGGAGAAATAGGCATCCAAGGAGAAAAGGGCATTGAGGGATTCAAATGGGCTGGAGAAACGGGCACCTAAATTTAACAATGGAAAGAAAGAGGGTGGGAAGCCACCCCACCCCCCTCCCTGCACTGTTTACCTCCTTCCCTTCTCTCTGGACCCCCACTCCCTCTTTCCTGAGTGGCCCATGATGTCTTTGCTGGGATTTTAGGCTTCCCACTCAGGAAGCTGCATTGTTTGGAGGCACGCTAAAGCCATTAGGCTTTAAATTCAGCACACTGTAATAGATGTTTTCATCTCTGCAAGCGCCAAGGCAAATGGGGTGAAAGGCTTTCCATTATTATTTCGTGTAATTCCATTTCCCCCATGATGGGAAGCAAAGGAGCGAGGACCCGTAGCCTCAAACAAATTAAAAAATGCAGGGGTTGATGTAAATTCTAGCAGGAGGAGACTGTCTTAACTGTGGTGTTTATAAACCCTTAAGCACAGTGCACAGGAGAGGTAAATTCCAGAGGGGCCCTGCTCATCCCTGAGTTACAAGCTCCACAGCATCCTCTGTAAAAAGCAATTGCTGCCCTCAGCCCCATTTCCAGAGATATTGCTGCAACAAAATCCAGGGTGGGATCAATAAAGTAAATTTGATCATAAATTAAAGCAGCCACAAAAAGCTCTCCTGAACCTCTGGAGGGTTCAGCAGTGCTGGAGCAAAAGCACCTGCCTGTCTCCAGCCCATGGGGTCTGATATCCTGACTCTGGAGCAGGGCTGGGAGGAATTATTTACAGCCACTGAGCCCCTCGAAAGCTCAGGGGTGACACAGTGGGAAGGAAAAGGGTGGAAAACCAAAGGGAGGAAACCAAGAGGAGCCTAAGCCTAAACCTAGATTTCCACGTTCATGGATCTGGGAACCACCGTAGGTTTAATGCCCTGGTTAACTGTGTTAATGGCTTTGCCAGCCCTCCTCACCAAACATGCATTTTAGTTAGACCTGCAAACCACCAAATCTCACGGGGTGTTGGAGCATTTTAGTCCTCCTGCCCATACTTTCCAGGCCCTGCTTTAAATGTGTGCATCCTTTAATTCGTCCTTTAACACCTGGGATTAGTCCAAGCTCTTCCATAATCAGCTTTCAGAGTCTTCTTGGGAGAAGAAAATGCTAGAAAGCATCTCTAGCACCAGTAGGACCAGTAGAAACGTTTTCACTAATCCCTGCCCAAGCAGGGGGTAAAAGCCCCTCACCCTTTGCTGTGCACCAGAATGTCCCCAAATTTCCCACACTGCTCTGGAGGAACTCAGTTCTTCTTTCCCCAGGGATGGCCTTTGGATTAATGACAACCTGCACCACCTGTCAGCAGCCAAGGAGGCACAGCCAGGTCTGGCTCCATCCCACCATCCACACCTTCACCTCACTCCAGTGAGCTGTCCTGCTCCCATATTACCTGTGGAAGAGGGAATGTGGCTGAGCCCCGAGGGGAAATGCTCAGCAGGGATCTCAAATGCTGCAGAGCTTTGCCAGCAGTTCAGAAGGATAATAAACCTATTAAATCCCATTCATCCACAACACTCCTTAAAGAACAGGAGGAAAAGTACTTTGATCCAGCACAAAGGACAACGAGCAGATCAAACGAAAAGCCAGATAAGATTTAATTGATTTAAAAAAAAAAATTGCATGAAGAGAGCAGCACACTCAGGTCAGAGTTCCCTTTGGCTGGATCGACCCCAGATGTGGCAGCACCATCTGGGAATGGCACTGGATTGGCGAGAGCCACGTTTTTCTCCATCTCTGGATGGAAAGAAGGATAATTTTCATTCAATGCAATTTCTCCCAGGTAAGGTCAAGAGGTGTGAGTGAATCTGCTCCTCTGCAGGAAGGAGGCAGAACAGGATTAGTGCTGTGGGCTGGGGAAGGAGGAAAAGGAGGGATGATGGCAAATCCCAGACGATATCCCCAGGTCAGAGGAAGGAGAGAGCAGAAAGAGCAAAACCAGGGGGACTAGGGGGGACACACCTGCCTGTATCAGATCTGCAGCCCTCAGCTCCCTGATGGCTCAAGTCTCCTCCAGCATTTCAAAAAGGAAGATACACAGTGGGAATTGCTATTCCTGCCTTGCTCCAGGCATCCCAGCATGTTTGCCATGGAGCATGGGAAAAGGTAAGAAATAGCCAATCCCAGAGTGACATCCCTGGATTCCAGAGACCCTGACCCAGACACACTCCCAGACCAGCCCTGCAGGACCAGGACCAACAGCACCCACTTCCCAACCTCAGCTCCACAGCCAGCTACTTCCCATCTTTGTACCTCAGCTTCCCCAGGAACAAGTCAGGGAATAGATGCAAGCCCATCTACCTGTCAGAAGTGTTTGGGGAGCAGGGGGTGAGCTGGGCCAGGCAGAGCCTGTGGGTTGGGACAGCAGGGATTGACTTTTCCCAAGGCTGAGGCATTTTGCAAAGCCTTTTTGGGCGTCTGAAGCACCACGAGGAGGGAGCTGGCCCTGGTCCAGGCTCTGGCAGACACACATGGGAAGGGATATTATCCCTCATGTACAGGGCAGAGGTGCCACCCCAGCCCAGCCAGGTGTTTCTGACACCAAACACTGCTGTCTCAGAGCTCTCAGTGGTGTTTCTCACCTCTTCTCCCTCAGATCACAGGAGCATGAAATTGGTTTTTTAGGGAGACACAGACGTGGAGAGCCTGGTGCAGGGTGGGACACAGGGTGACAGGCAGGGGTGGCAGTGTCTGTGACAGTGAGTGGTGTCCCTGACTCTGACACAAAGTCCTTGGAAACCAGTGCTGCACCCTGATGGAGCAGAATATTGCTTCCTTGTACACCTGCAAGGGAACTCTGGTCAAATTTCTTCTCCCATAAAACAAAGAGGGACTTTCCACGCCCACCTGATGTGTTTGGGAGCCTGGTGGGGTGCACAGGTGGCCAGGTTTCACCAGGGGTCCCCCCTGATGTTGTCAGTGCAGGGGCTTGGTGGCAGCTACACATTGGCTGTGCTCAGATACCCCAGGGAAGGTGATGGATGGGTGATTGTTCAGACAGCAAAGGTGCCTGATGCTGCACATCCATCAGCTGGTGAAGGATTTGTCCTCAAACGCTGTTTTCTCCCTGCTTCTGTCTTGGCTCACTGCACCCCTCAGAAAGGCAGGGCCTGGCATGACAAACCCGGGATGGAGTGGGCACAGGGAGCTCAGCTTAGAGGGGCAGCAGCTCAGCCCCACACCAAGTGATGCCATAAAACACTGCCATTAATTCCAGCCTTGCTTGCCTGACATTTCCTCACTGCTCCCGGGGACCTGCAAAGTGGCAGAGCAGGGGAATAACCCCTATCTGTGCAGAGCCTGGGGACATAAACACAGATGGAAAACAGGGATTGGATGTAACTTCAGTCCAACCACCCACCACCACCCTGGTACCCCTCCCAGCAGGGCTTTTCCAAATGTTTATCAAAAAAGTTATGCTGAAAAAAATTATGTCAAAAGGAAAAGTAATGTTATGGAGGAGCAGAGAGAGAGGACTGATGAAAGATCACAGAATCCCACATTGGTTTGGGCTGGAAGGGACCTGAAAGCCCACCCAGTCCCACCCCCTGCAATGGGCAGGGACACCTTCCACTAGCCCAGGTTGCTCCAAGCCCCGTCCAACCTGGCCTTGGACACTTCAAGGGCTGGGGCAGCCACAGCTTCTCTGGGCAACCTGGGCCAGGGCCTCCCCACCCTCACAGGGAAGGATTTCTTCCCAATATCCTCTCTAATCCTGCCCTCTGGCAGTGGGAAGCCATTCCCCCTTGTCCTGTCACTCCATGCCCATATCTGAGATAATGTCACAGACCTTTGCAGCACAGATTAAGATGCTCCACTTGTCCCCACGCTGCCCTTTCCTTGACACCGGGGCAGCAGAAATCCCTCCAAACCTCTCCCACCTTCTCTGGGACCTGCACAATAGTCCTGGCTGCCACAGCAGGGGACCAGGCTCGGTGCCACCAGCATCCTGTCCCATTCCCAAGGACATCAATCTATCCAATGGCTTTATTAATGGCAGCTCCTGCGAGCTGAGCAAGGAAAAGCACCCGCTGGGCTCAGCGGAGCACGAGTAAATAACAGTGAATGTAACACAGCAAATTAAATCCCAGCAGGGGAGTTGAAATGCCAGCAAATATTCCCTAATCTGTCTTCCTTCTGCAGGATAATTTTCATTCACTGGCAGTAAAGCTGAGATGGCGTCAGTGTGTGTATTTATGAGTGTGCCTGTGTTAAAGGGGAAGCTGGTTTGGAAAATGTGGGGGCAAAGATGATTGATAACACAACAGGAGGAAAGAACAGTGGATACTCATCATGCCCTCCCTGGAAAAAGACTGAGGAAGGAAAAAAGGGATGCGTAGATGTGCTCAAAAAGCTGCTTCTGTCTTGAACCAACTGGCAAAAAGAAAGTGAAAATGAGATTAGCCCAGCTCAGTGATTCTGTGTAAGGAGAAATGGGCTGCAATGACACATCCCAGAAACCTTAGAAGAACTTAGATACAAAGAAAAATGTTACTTCAATTTAAAAGATTAGAAGAAAGAGGAAAATTAGTGTTGAAACCCATGGCATGCAGAGGCCATGAGGGAGAGGATTCAGTTCTGCTCTGGCACAGGGCAGGACTGGCTGCTCTCCCTGGAAGGGTCCTCACCTGTTCCAGATGTGGTGAAGGA